TTTTTTTTAGTATAACATCTATAATTTAATTATACCATTACTTATTTCATTAAAATATATTATAATGATCAGTTATATTTTATATTCAATTCAATTGCAATTCTAAAAGTATATAAAATATTTTTATTGTTAAATCACTTTTATATAATAAGTAATAAAATTAATCTCTATATATAATAAGTAATAAACAATTGTATTATGAAATTTGAAATAAATATTTAAAATAATATTTAACATTAATATATCGAAGATTTCTTCTTAGAAATACCAAAATTTCCCATTTATCTCAGCCTGCGGAATGATAACTGTCAATATCATCAGCTTCACTAAAAACAGATTCTGAAGAGAATCTCGCACACTTTTATAAACAGAATGCGCAAAAAAATAACAATATGGCAGAATGTTTATTAATTAATTATTATTATTAAAAAAATATACATATAAATGGATTTCGATTTTATTTATAAAAATAAATGATTTTAGATATAACTTTTTAAAAATTTTTTATAATATTTAATTTTTGTTAAAGAATTTATATCGGATGTAATTTTATTATATTGGCCGATAACCGATATTTTAAAATGGGTGAAATCGGCCCGATCCGATCCGATAAAAAATATCGGCACATCACTAATATATTTTATTTATAATTATTTTAGCAAGTTTTTATTAGAGGAAATTGTTAAGCTACAATTGATATATAACATTAGATAATTTTAAAAGGCTCTTAATAAAATAATTATAATAAGGTAGAATTTAACTTTATTAGTTACTTTTATTTCTTTATGATATAAGTAAAATTACATTACAGTATTTATTTACAAAATTTAATCAATTTAAAATGCATTAAAGAAAATTGTTATTTAATAATTATAATATAATGTACATTATTTTCATATTTTTTATATAAAATTAATGATTTTGTAAGAAATATATGAAAAAGATTTGAAAAGAGATTTAAAGGATATTTGTATATATGATATTGCAAACGCAAGAATTAATAAGTCATATTAGAAAATAAACTAATTTAAAAAATACATAAATATCACAAACAAGTAATGATAAATACCTATTACAGAAAATGAATAAAATAAGTATATTTTTTTAGAGATGCCATTTAGCCATATACTACGAATTAAAACAACACAGAAAATAACCCATTTGATTTAATTTTTTTTTCTTATTTGCAAATTTTAAACTCCCATTAAATATACTAAGCTATTAATGGGCAAGAACAAATATTAAAATCCCTGGTTATTATAATTAATTCATTAATAAATATTTTATTAATTATTACAAATATTCATATATGTATATGCTATGTTTTTCACAAATAATAAAAACTGTATTTTATAAACTATTCTAATTTAATTGGTAATGATAATTTAAAAATATCTTGTATTTAAGATACTCTAATTTAGTAAAAGATACAAGTATCTTTTATCTTTTTGATATTTTGAAAAAGATACTAGTATCTATATCTAATATTCATTTTTTTATAAAGAATCTGTATCTGTATCTAGATTCTTTTTCTGGAGGACCTGCCCAACTCTGCATTCCATAACTTAGTACATTTGGCTAGCGGGATGATGAATTCTAGAAATTGTAGGGGAATCCTTATTAGCTTTTTCATATCTGTTGTGGCAATATAGACAACGAATGTAAGGAGGCAATAATATTGATGCTTCTTTAGACCCTTAGTTTGTCTCAAGATCAAAAATAAGAAGCAAAGTAAAACGGCGTACGCCGAATAAATATATTATTATAAATTTTACAATAAAAGAAGTATTAAATAATACTTTCAATGACTTCGAATTCTAAACTGCCTAAAAGCTTTTATAAAATTAGATCCGTTGTCTGTCACAGTAGTTATAACTTTTTCATCAATTCCAAAGTAACGATGGATTTCATCAACTCTGGTATTTTATTATATGTATGTTCCCAAAATCTTCTTACAAGAGCTCGAGATTGTCTTTATAAACTATCGGTTGAGAGCTTAGTTAAATATTTATTTAATTTAAAATAGCATATGATTTCATTACCCAGTGGCAAGTCATTCCAAGAAAGCTTCTAGTCTTAGTAGACCTATCTGCAGTAGTGCAGATATATGTTTGAGCTTTCAATAACTGTTTTAAATGATCAGTTTCATATATGAAGTTTTCTCAATTTTTATTTGCAAAGATCTTCGAGAAATTTTTTTAATTGGTAATGATAATCCAATACATGATACAGTGGCGTAGCTATGGGGTGTTTGTGGGTTTGGACCCCTCCCAGAGCAAAAATATTTTTTAGATTACACGCTCAAAAGACTTAATAGTGACTTTATATCAAATAAATACCATTAATATTTTTTTTGGTTTTGATGTTTGTGGAAGGATATTATATTACTATTGAAATTATTCTGGATAGTATTATTATAAAGTCATTGAGAATAATCTATTAATGCATTTAAAAAATATATTTATTATATATTATCGAAGATATGGTTATGATTTGTAAGATAAACCCGGCCGAAGGCCCGTTAAAGGGGTTTGGGGGCTTCGCCCCCAGGCTTTTATATGTACCCCCTCTAAGGTAAATTCCTAGCTACGCCACTGACATGATAATATTTCTAATAAATTGACAAGTAGAAGAGATAAGGATGAGAGAAAAATTTTTTTACCTTCCATCATTTTAACATATTCTTTTTGCTCAACTATAGATAATGGAATTCCTTTAATAACAAATGAAGTTAAAAAATTATTGAATTTTTCCAGAGATATTTTTTTATCATTTGAAAATTCTAGCGTTTTATTTAACGATTTTGCAGTTTTCACAATTTCTTTTTGTTTTTTCTATATGTGTAATATTTTATGATGGTTCATAGTTCATACAATTTTTATGATTCCAGATGACTTCTCTATTAGTGAAAAAAAAAATTTTAAATTAGAGATTTATTTAATAATTTTTTGTAAAAATTCTATTTTGAAATGATAAAATTAGATAGAATGTATTTATATTATTATAATTATGAAAAAAACTATTGTCTTATAAATAATACTAATTATTACTCTTTAAAATTTAAAAATAAAATGAAAATCAAATATAATATTTACTGAAATACTTTTGCAAGAATTTTTTTTAAATGTAATTTATAGTCATTCTATATTTTGGTAATAGGAAAAAAAACCCCTGGAAAAAAACCCCCGGAAAAAAACCCCCAGGAAATAAAACCCCCGGAAAAAAACCCCCAGGAAATAAAACCCCCGGAAAAAAACCCCTTGAGATTATTTTTATACACTCTCATATTTAAGTATATTCTAGCAATAATTTATATTGAATTGGTATATATACAATTGCAAGTTAAAAATTTGTTAAAAATATTATGACCTCATCAAATTTTTGCTTATAGACCATTCATGCTTCCTCCACCCCCACCTCCTCCTACTGTCATGGATCTTGCTGGAGTTGGTGTGTCTCCTATGAATATGATGCACCATCCAAATTTACCCCCAATATGATGGGTTATTTATATTTACTATTGATACTTAAAACGTAATGTATTTTTTTTAAAATACAAATTTATTTAAGCAGATAATCAATTTTTAGAAATACATCTATATATAACCTGATTGGTTGTTAGCAGCCAGTATATAAAGAAATTGAAACTTAATTCATGCATATTTAAAAGATGAATATTGAAATAAATTCGTGATTTATTATAATAGAAACAAATATACATTCACCCAATATACAATTTAATTCAGTTGAAACCATTAAAATGCAAATGGAAAATACTCAATTTTTTTGCATTTGGTATTTTGAATAAATGTGATAATTTTAATTTATTCATGATTTCTCACCTCATTGATATGCAACTACCTTTAGTTTTTAGCTTATTAAAAGTTTTAAAATGTATTTTAAATCAGAAGAATAAAAATTGTTTATTAATTAAAAACGCTATGATTGGTATTGTTTTAAAATGTATTTTTAATCAAAAGAATAAAAATTGTTTATAAATTAAAAACGCTATAATTGGTTTTTAGACAATTGCAAGTTAATAAATATTATTGCAGCAACTAGTTAAATGAACAGATATTAAAATGTATTGTTATAAAATGTATTTTTAATCAAAAGAATAAAAATTGTTTATAAATTAAAAACGCTATAATTGGTATTTATTTATAATAAACAATAATAATTTGGATCTTTATGCCGTATATAAAAGACAAAAAAAAAATTAAATTTACAAAAATATTTTATTCATAAAATTTATATTTTATAAAAAAAAATTAAATTTACAAAAATATTTTATTCATAAAATTTATATTTTATAAAAAAAAATTAAATTTACAAAAATATTTTATTCATAAAATTTATATTTTATAAAAAAAATTTAATGGATCTTATTCATCCTGGAAAGCTCATATTTGAAGGTTATTCTTATACCATACATAAAAAATGCTCAAACAAGATTAGATGGCGCTGCTCAAAGTATTCTTCTTTTAAATGCCGAGCAATACTTTTTTCAACACTCGATAATCAAGACCCAGTTCTTGATACAGCTCATAATCATCCATCAAATATTGATGGACTAGTAGCAATGAAATCCATTGCTAACATGAAGAAGCGATGTGCAGACTCTTTGGCAAAACCTCTTCAAATTTATGCAGAGGAAATTGTAAAATTAGACCAAAGAGTTCAGTCGCATATGTTATCGGAAGATTCTATAAAAAGAACTCTAAGGAATCACAAAGCAATGCAACACCCTTCAAATCTTGAGAATTTGGAAGACCTAGTTATTGAAGGTATTACTTTAAATATAATTATATTTTCATAAAAATTTAAATATTATAGGTGATTGGGCAAATTGTGGCTCCCAGAACTCAAAACGATTTTTATTATTTGATAATGGCCCACAAGCTGAAGAACGCATAAAAATGTTCGCAACAGATGATTCCTTGAATCTAATATCTAATAGGACAGAGTGGTATATGGATGGTAATTTTGCCATGTCCCCAAAAAATTTTCTACAATTATATGTGATTAGAGTAGCAATAAACAATATTTTTATTACAGCGGTTTATTGTGTACTCCAGAAAAAAACTCAAAGTACATATGAAATAATATTTCAAACAATAATGTCTAAATGTCAGGAAAGGGATTTATTTCCTGATCCATTATATATATACATGGATTTCGAAAAGTCTGCTATGACCGCGGTTAAGAGTATCATTGGTATGATTATTAATATGTTTAATAATTTATATTTATTTTTTCAATTAGGGGATCACATCGTAATTAGAGGATGTTTTTACCATTTGTGTCAAAGTACACATAGAAAAATTCAGAAGCTGGGTCTGGAAAGCGAATATAGGACGGATGAAACTCTAAGTTTTTTTTGTGGCATGATGGACGGCTTAGCATTCGTTCCGTTATGTGATATGGATAATGCAATGACATTCCTTAGATCAGTTACTCCGAGCAATGGTAAGGACATTCTCGATTATTTCGATAAAAATTATGTCAATGGAGTATCAAGGAATGTCATGAGAAGCAATTCTCAATCCCAAACACGTCGAATTGAGCCTCGATTTCCTCCAGAAACCTGGAACGTGAATCAGAGTACTCTCTCAGATGAAGAACGAACAAATAATCAATGCGAAGGTTGGAATCATCGTTTTTCTAATCTGGTTGGTAATAAACACCCATCAATCTGGGTACTCATTAAAAAAATGAAATGCGAGGTGGCTGCCGACGAAACCAAACTTGAAAGATGGCGCGTAGGTAGTTGGACATCTAAAACAAAATCGCAGAGTTCTAACAACCAGATTCGGCTAAAGAAACTTTGCGAAGAATACCGTGATGGGGTGCGAAGCCTTCCGGATTTTATAAGAGCGATATCCTTCAATATTCGATGTCAACCAATATAATAATTATTATAAATTATATATACATAATCATGATTTACCAATAAAATAAACATTTCTTATTTCTAAGTTTTGTCAAATTTAGTCTATTTAATATACTATAGGAAATTTTTTTTACAATACATAGTTATTTTACTGAGGCATTTTTTCCCAGTACCAATTTAAACATCAGTTTTTCTTATTTAAGAATTTTTTTATGAAGAGTAGACCGGTCTTAAGTAAATTCTATAAAAATGAAAAAAAAATTATTGGGGAATTTTTTTCCGGGGGTTTTTTTTCCTGGGGATTTATTTTCCGGGGGTTTTTTTCCTGGGGGTTTATTTTCCGGGGTTTTTTTTTCCTGGGGGTTTATTTTCCGGGGGGTTTATTTTCCGGGGTTTTTTTTCCGGGATTCATTTATTTTATATAAACAAAATTATATATTAAGCATACATGTAAAAATTTAAAAAAATTACATATGAAAGGTGGATTAGATATAAAAATGGTACCCCACCAAATATGTGGATTATATTTTGACCTAGTGTTCAAATTAATAACCTCTTTTTTTATCAATATTTATTTTCTTATTCTCTTCATCGATGATTTTTATATATCTTTTTAATTTCATTACTAAATCATTAATATAAAAATTTAGATTTATATGGAATATGAAGAAATGTTATTTATAATAAAATCATATATTATACTTTCGCAGAGCCACTTATAGATTTGTGGCATTCTTTAAATTCTGCAGTAACTTTATTATTTGTATTGGTATATCCATGTTGAGTGACTTGAAAAAATTTCCCATTTAAAATACTTAATTAAAATTATTATATTCTTCTATTATTTTAAAATAGATGGATATAAAACGATTCAAATAAAATATGGTAGTTGTTTACAAATAGCTATATGACGAGAACGACCAACGTCATATATCATACATTATTTTAAATAATCTAAATTTGGATTAAATTTTTCATTTAAGTTTTAAAATAATATTATTTTAAATTAACTAATATAATTTTTTTTTAAGTATCTGTATTTTTTTGAATACAAAGTTGATTAAGATACAGATATTTTTAAAGAATTTATATCTTAGATACAAGATACTTTCTAAATTTTTAAAAAAGATACAAGATACATATCCACGATCCTGCCAACCCTATGAATCCCATATTTTTAAAAGAAAAAATAACACGGGGAGGATTTTAAAATTATATACCATTTGAGTAGCAGGTAGGATATCAAGGAATGATGGGAAATTAAGAGATAAAGATTTGAATATAATTAGTAAGCCCTTCATACTGATTAAATTATGACCAACAAATGGAAAGGGTAAATTAAATACTGATAAATCTTAAAATTTAATATTATTTTAAGCTATAACAATCTTAATGAAAATGGATATGCTCGGTCAATCACAGCAGAAAATTTGTAGATTCAAATGATAGATCACCGTTTATGGAGGATCTTAATGCGAGCATCCCAAGAAAGAAAATCTTCTTGTCGTTTATATATATATGTGAATATTCTTATTTTTATAATAACATATATCAAATTAAAGTAAATTAATTAATATAAATTTTTATAGGCATCTTTTTCATATAAAAATAAAAAAAATTATTTTTAAGTCATATTTAGTTCTATGTGTCATATTATTATTTAAAATTATTTTTTTTTTTTAAATTATTTTGTTTAATATCTATCATATTTATAAATAGGCGCGTGATTTAATATATCACGTGCAGAACTCGTTTTCTATACCCCAAAAAGTATAAAAGGGACAAGATTTCATAATTATAATGACTTTTTTTAAACATTTTTTTGTAGTTATATATTTAGTTAGCGAATAAAATTTGGAGTTGAAAATTATTATTTTTAGAGTTGTGTTGGTAAATTGTGTAAGTTATTAAATAGCGCTCTACTATTGGTAGTTTTATAGTACTTAATTATTTTCACAATTGTGCCATGACCGAATACGGGGAATTTTATAGTGTTGCATTAATAAATTATATTTAAAACGGCGAATGTGACCTAAGCATTTTGATGAATTATAGTGTGATTAATTAATATTCATGGAGGTGTTGATAAAAATGTGGTGCTAATTTTAGAAAAATGAAATTTGGTTTTATAATTGTTGGAATTTTAGACTGGTTAATGCATATTATATATTGGAAATAAAATGTATAAATGCTGTATTGAATTAAATTGGAGTGAAGGAAATATATATATAGAGCGCAAAACGCAATAGTAAAATACAATTTTTGGAGTGATTTATATTAATAGAGAAATAAGTAAATGTGAGAGTGAAAATATATAAGTGAATGGGTATGACTAAATACTGCCTTGCTAAAAAGCAATTAATCATAATTTGATTATATAATATCTTTGAAAAAAAAAATTACAAAAACATTTTTTTTATTTTACATAAATCAATTTTTAATTAAGTAAAAAATTGATATTAAATATCAAATAATTTAAAATTCTATTTTTACTTAATATTATTGAAAAAAAACATATATTTACTAGTTTATTACAACATAAATTTTACAATTACAAAATTTATATCCATAAGAGGGCTTTAAATGCATAAATATGAAAATATATTCTTAGGAAACCAGAATAAATATTGGATAGCGCTTTTTTTGTATTTGGGTGTAAATACATATGAATAACCTAAATTTTTTTTAAAAAATAGAGGTTTCTCTGACATTTAATTAATGAGTAGGTTTAGAATCAAAAAATAGTAGAAAGTTTGTAAGGAACATATTGCTGGCGTTATTGATCAAAATGTCTTAATTTTTGGTTTATACGTATTTTTAAAATCCCAAAAATCTAAATTTTTGATTAAACTGAGAATTGACATCATAACTCAAAAAATAATGATGGAAACTTAAATTTTCTTCCATTTTATGTTTATACGAGTAAGTTTACACAAAATGAGTCTTATTAATTAAATATTTTTAAAATCCCAAAAATCTAAATATTTTTGACTAATCATAACTCAAAAAAGAATAAAGGAAACTTAATTTTTTTTTCATATTATGTTTATATGAGTAGGTTTACACAAAATGAGTCAAAAAATAAAACATTTTTAAAATCCCAAAAATCTAAATATTTTTGACTAAACTGAGAATTGACATCATAATTCAAAAATCTATGATGGAAACTTAATTTTTTTTCCATTTTATGTTTATATTTACACAAAATGAGTCAAAAAAATTAAATGTTTTTAAAATCCCAAAAATCTAAATATTTTTGACTAAACTGAGAATTGACATCAGGTCCGTGAAGTTGGCCCCGCAATTTTTGATTTTCAATGGTTTATCAGTTGGTGTGATTAGTACCCGATTTGTACCGTTTTCAGTTCGATTTGTACCATCACCGTTTTTGAGATATTCAAAGAACAAAACGGGGGGCCAACTTCACGACAGCCCCCCAACTTTTGAACTTAAAAATAAAAAGTGAATAGGTCAATAGAGAATGATTTGTATAAAAATTTTTTTAAAGTACAACGGTAGAGAATTTTTTTCTCTTCCTAATGATGCCTCAAATTAAGCTTTATCTTCATTATTTATTTCGGAAATCAAATTTTAAACCTTATATTATAGCGTGAAGTTAGCCCCCCCCCCCATTATTCAAAATTTGAGATTTTTCAAATTTTTAAAACGGGATTGATTTATACCCGATTTGTACCGTTTCAAACTCGATTTGTACCATTACCGTTTTCCAGCTATTGACCGTTAAAGATATGGCGCCAAAAATAAAAAACACTCAACATTTATTTTTTTTAAATTTTTTAACGCACAACGGTAGAGAATTTTTTTCTCTTCCTAATGATGCCTCAAATTAAGCTTTATCTTCATTATTTATTTCGGTAATCAAATTTTAAACCTTATATTATAGCGTGAAGTTAGCCCCCCCCCCCCAATATTCAAAATTTGAGATTTTTCAAATTTTTAAAACGGGATTGATTTGTACCGTTTCAAACTCGATTTGTACCATTACCGTTTTCCAGCTATTGACCGTTAAAGATATGGCGCCAAAAATAAAAAACACTCAACATTTATTTTTTTATTAAATTTTTTAACGCACAACGGTAGAGAATTTTTTTATCTTCCTAATGATGCCTCAAATTATGCTTTATCTTTATTATTTATTTCGGAAATCAAATTTTAAACTCTTAAAAATTAAATGTTTTTAAAATCCCAAAAATCTAAATATTTTTGACTAAACTGAGAATTGACATTATAACTTAAAAAATAATGACGAAAACTTAAATTTTTTTTCATTTTATGTTTATATGAGTAAGTTTACACAAAATGAGTCAAAAAAATAAAACATTTTTATACTCCCAAATATTTAAATATTTTTAACTAAACTGAGAATTGACATCATAACTCAAAAAATAATGATGGAAACTTAATTTTTTTTCCATTTTATGTTTATATGAGTAGGTTTACACAAAATGAGTCAAAAAATAAAACATTTTTAAAATCTCAAATATCTAAATATTTTTGACTAAACTGAGAATTGACATTATAACTCAAAAAATAATGATGGAAACTTAAATTTTTTTTCATTTTATGTTTATATGAGTAGGTTTACACAAAATGAGTAAAAAAATAAAACATTTTTAAAATCCCAAAAATCTAAATACTTTTGACTAAACTGAGAATTGATATCATAACTCAAAAAATAATGATGGAAACTTAAATTTTTTTCCATTTTATGTTTATATGAGTAAGTTTACACAAAATGAGTCAAAAAAATAAAACATTTTTAAAATCCCAAAAATATAAATATTTTTACTAAACAGAGAATTGACATCATAACTCAAAAAATAATGATGGAAACTTAAATTTTTTTTCATTTTATGTTTATATGAGTAGGTTTACACAAAATGAGTCAAAAAAATAAAACATTTTTAAAATCCCAAAAATCTAAATATTTTTGACTAAACTGAGAATTGATTTATAACTCAATAAATAATGATGGAAACTTAAATTTTTTTCCATTTT